GGAAACAATCCACCGCGAACTAGAGATGGCAGATACAACATACAGGAGGGTTAGAATACCAATAATTTCAGAAAACAGAATAAGCTGAAAGAATATAAAAGAAATAAAAACTGTAAGCATGGGGATGCCATACAAACAAGAAGATTTTTGCACACAGAATGCCCAGAAATTAAAAAACAAGATGGGTTAAGAGACATGGAATACAGAAAGACAGAAGATCCAACATATCATATGGAGAAAGAATAGAGAGAATGGAAAGAGTATTTGAAGATATGATGCCTGAGACTTTTACAGAATTGGTACAAACGTGACTTTTCATACTCAAGATATAAAATAAGTTCTAGCCAGTATAACACTTACACCTAAACATTGTTATATGAAATTATAGACCACCAAAGAGAAGAGAAAAATGGCGAAGCCACTGGAGAGAAAATGTGGATTACCTATCAAGAACAGTAATAAGTGGGGCGCCTGAGTGGCTCAGTCTATTACAAGTCTGACTTCGACTCAGGTAATGATCTCATGGTTCATGAGTTCAAGCCCCACATCTGGCTCTGTGCTGACAGTTCAGAGCCTGGAGCCAGCTTAAGATTCTGTATGTGTGTGTGTGTGTGTCCCTCTCTCTCATGCTCTGTCTTTCTCTCTCTCTCAAAAATAAACATTAAAAAAATTTTTTAAAAAAAGAACAGTAATAAGAGAAGAGTCCTCACAACAACAATAAGGTGGGGTGCAGGGTGCAGGAGAGGGAAATGGTTTCACACTCTGGAAGGTGTAAGAAACCATTCATTCCAGAATTCAGTATGAAGCTAGATTGCCCTTCCAGATTAATTGTAATAAAAAGACAATGTCAGATAAATATTACAACTGTTTACAACTCACCAGTTCATGCTGAAAGTACTACTAAACACTCAGTTTCACAAGGAAATTAAGCCCTGACAGAAGGAGAGGAATAAAGGGAGGAAGGATGAGCAAAGAAAATGATTATGCAGGTAAATTCAAAGAAGCCACAACTAAAAAATTCATGAAAAAATTTAAAGCAGATACAAAAATCAAGGAGGACTCTCGAGACCTTAAAATGACTTAAGAACATCATTGTTTACGAGAAGCAAAGAGCTACGGGTTAAGCTTATTGTTTGTTAAGTTTAAATGTTTAACATTGAAAAGTAAGGTTTGAAAGAATAGAAATAGAATCTGTAATTTACAACAGAAAGGGGGATTAAATGAAGTAATCTAATCTAGAAGGCAGAAAACAGGGGGAAAAAGAAAAAGAAACAAAAGCCCACGTTTATAAATTCGTGCTGGAACGCCTGAAGTATTCCCTTTAAAGTCAGTAATGAGGCCTGGATGTCTGCTACCTCTGTCTCTATCCAACACTGCACCGGGGGCCTTAGGCAAAGCAAAAAGATAAGAAAAAGTTGTAAAAATTAGAAAAGAAACAAATCTGCTACTAACTGCAGATGATATAATTGAAAAAAAAAATCTAAGACATGTACAAACACACTCTAGAGTTTAACAAAGTTTTCTCGAGGAAAGGGATAAAAATTTGACTATTGTTTTTATACTGAAGAAACCATGGGGAAACGTAATCATGCCCTGGCAGTTCCACTGCTAGGAGTGCAGCCAAGGGAAGCTTTCGGACACATGGGCATGGAGACAGAAGTAAGAATGTTTTCTGCAAAAGAAAGTTGTAAGAGTAAAATAAGCGTTAAGAAAACAAAAAGGAATCAACCAAACTGTGCCTCAGTGGGCGTATTCAGGCAATGAGATAAAATGCCACAATTTAAAAGAAATGGATTGCCAATCTGGATAAATTTTGGAAACATAATGCTGAATGAAAAGGCAAGTTGCAAAAGGAAAGTTCAATATGGCATCATTTATGTGAAATCTCCCTAAGATATTACTTATGAATATGTAGACATTTAGGAAAAATATGAAAATATGAATGAGAATCAGACAAGGGAATAAAGCCTCCAACCTCACAGATACAGTTACTTCTAGGTCCAGGACAGAAGGACTTCAGCCATACTTGTAATATTTTATTTTCCTTGAAAAAAATGTATTTTTTTCCTTGAGGAATATTTGAAGCACATATGGAATATTTTCTCTGTTTGAATTATTTCATAATTAAGAATAGTGAAAAGATATTCATCAAATTGACATTTTAATCAAGTTATATTTGACCAAGTTTTCTGATAGCCTGGGCATAATGTAGGTAAATGGTAAGTGTTTTATCATTTTATACCCCAGCTCCACCCCCAACTGGGTCTTACTCAAAATTTTCTTGCCCAATTTCAGAAGAAATATTTAAAATTTTTTTTTCTTCATTAAAATTTTTTTTTACCTTTTTTTAATTTTAACTATTTCTCTGTTCCCTCCCCGCCATCAACAACTACTAATCTGTTTTTTATATCTATGAACTTGGTGATATTTTCTTTAATTCCACATATAAGGGAGAGCATACAGTATTTGTCTTCTCTGACTGACTTATTTCACTTAGCATAATGCCCTTAAGGTTCATCCATATTGTTGTATTTTGCAATACTTCATTCCTTTTTATGCCAAATAATACTCCATTATGTGTCCACTCCTCAATTTCTTTATCTTTTCATCCATGGATGGACAGTTAGGTTGATACCCTATCATGGCTACTGTAAATAATGTTGCAGTGAACATTGGGGTCCATATGAGAATAGGTATTTGACAGATAAAATAGGAGAATCAGGACAACCACTTGGAGACATACTTCTTCCCTCTCAAATTCTACTTTATTTTACTTCACTTCTTCTTTTTCTCTTTCCTGCCTATTTCTCAGAGAAGTCACTGATGGATCTTTTTTTTTTTTTTTTTAAGTTTTTACTTACATTCCAGAGAGTTAACATAGCATACTATTAGCAAGTGCACTTGTGATGAGCAGCGGGTGTTGTGCGTATGTACTGAATCACTGAATCGTACACTTGATGTACCTTATATTTCTGTGCAAAATAAAGACAATATAACAAGAAAAAGAATAAGCTGTCTTTCATTTCTCAGACCTCTAGACTTATATTTATGTTTGTACCAGGTTAAGGCAGAGGAAGACTGATTTATATCTTTTGCTGCTTGCTCTCCCAGTCAGCTCATTGTTCATACATCAGAAGGCCAAAAATCTTCAGAGATATACCTTCCAGCAATAAATCAAACCTCTTACTTGGAGGTTTAGATCCTGTTTGATTTTTAAGAAAATTTAAAGTAAAATTGCTACCAGGAAGATAAAGATAATATCAGATGACTTATTCTATGATTTATCCCAGCTTACTTTACAAATTTATTTTTCTTACAACAAAGGAGAAAGGATTTTAACACTGAAAGACAGACATAGAGCTATAGCCTTCGACCCTTTCCCCATGAGCAGCATGAGAAAGGACTCTTTCCTTCATTACAATTTCAATATGGACAATAGTAACTAGAACCCACAATATGCATAAGGTATAGTTATTGTCTGAGTAGAGTTATTCTGGGCCTTCTAAAGAAAGGTAAAGGAAGAGTATTAAGAATATGTGTTTATGTTGAGAGAGAATTTCTTTGTTTAGCCTTTCAGAGATTCAGCATAGTGTGAGTCTGTAGGTTTTCTGACTATAGTTAACACCTCTGTCCCATATCTCCACCTAATTCTGCAATACAAACAGGTTCACAAATATCACAAATATCATTATTTGAAAATAAATCAAATAATATTTGTTCATCTAAACTACCAAGGGATGTCTGTAAGGTGAAACTCAAGGATCAGCCAAACACGTTTATTTGGCCCCAAATCAGAATGCTCAAAATTAAATAGACTATATAGACAGCTAAAGTTATTTCAAGAGGTAGAAGATAAAAATACTTGTTTCACTGATGCAAGAAGATGTTTAAACAACATATGTTGTTGAAAGTACATTTTTGCTAATATAAGTAGTGGTTTAACTCAAGTGTTGTCTGTTTTCACATGGGTTGTTAAATGGTAGAACATGTGTGTTCCTCCCACACTCAGCCAAAATGATCCCATAATATAAGAATATGCTACGGCTGGGCCTTGGGATGTAAAGACTATCCAGGCAGTTGCCCAGAAAGGAATCTCAGGACACTTACTTTTCAGCTTTTTACATGGTCATATTTTAAATCCAATCTTTAGGATGAAAAACGACCCATTAGATGCCCTATGTCTTTGAGAAGGCAGAAATAACATCTTCGGAAAATCGACATCTTATTTTGAGATAACCTGGAGTACCTAGCTTTTTCCTTTTTGCATCATATGATTACAAATTTCCAGGTCTTTGCCTCCTCTATAGCAAACATTATAGACAGTGAGTACAGTGGGAAGGAGTGTAAGGAGTTTAACCAAGAAGATGCTGGAGAAGCGTTTGTTGGGACAAGCTTAGAGCAACTCAACGAAATCATTCATAACCAAAAGAAACTGCACATTACACAAGCTCTCAATACCCTACTAAAAAAATAAAATGCCCAGTGGAAAGTTATTTCTAAGATTTTTTCTTTATTTGGGCTGTAAGGCAAAAGTCTGTCAACCAACATCATCTGTAAACAACCTGGTTTGTTGACTCCTGAAATAGGATATTTATTTTTTTAACTGAAGTTTTAGTTAGTTAACATATAGGGTAATATTAGTTTTAAGAGCAGAATCTGTGATTCTTCACTTATATACGATATTTATTTTTTAAAAAAACTATCTACTTAAAATTCTGCATTCATAATTCATACATTCAAGTCACCACGGAAAGTAAAAGGAATACAATAAATTAATAAAATAAAGAAATACAATAAATTATTTTCTATCCCACAGAAGAATCTTCTCATTGTATGGTTTCAAATTCAAGGAACGCTTTGCATAATTTATTCTTTACCAATATTTGTGCTACCAAAATTTGTCAATGAGAAGATTAAATAATTTTACAAAGTAATCGAAGTTCTCAGCATAAAAAGTACTATTATTCCGATTTGTCCACAAAAACAAAACATACACATACCTCAACAAATATAAAACACGGGATGATGGAATAACTTCGCTGAGTGTTGTTTCCTACAGCCATCTCTTATACCATGTAGCAAGGCTGCGCCGTCTAAAACTGTCCAGGCTGAAATAGAAACAGGTAGCATTGTATAAGAACGACATGGTTAGCAGTCACTTAGGGATTTACGTGAAAATATCAGCTACCCTCTAGATAAACAAGCTGTGTACCAACAATGCAAATAGTGATCCATAATACAATCAAGTCAGACTAATCATCATTTCAGGGAAGATGAACTAGCCACGAACAGTCTTAGAGTCTAAATCACAGATAGTGAGCCCCTGTGCACAAAGGTACAGTGAATCAAATTCTAATTGCCTAGCCCTGCACAGTGCTTTACCTGAGTAGATTGCCCTCATGCCATGAAAGGCAGTTTTTGCTACAAAACATTTGTTGTTGTCCATACTGCATGGAATCTCCTCTCTCTGGGCCTGATTCTCCCTGTTTGCAAGTTTTGTTTCTGCCCTTGCCTCTGCCTTTGAAGCTAAGAGAGTACTGAGGCACTCATCCCTGACTTCTTACCCTGACCTCTCTTTGCCCTTGCTCCCTTGATTGTTAATATTTTGGATTAATACATCACTGATCCCTCTCACTGAGCTCCCTTAGCCCTGTATGTGTGTCCCGAACACAAAAACACCATAATAAAATCTCTCAGTTTACAAAAATGGAGTATCTAGGCAACTGCAGATTATTTTAAGTATTTGTTAGAATATCTGACTTTGAACCAAAAATATTCCTGTATTAGATTTGTTTAAGAAGAATCAAAATTAGCCAAACAACCACATAGAGGTTTTAGACTTTTATAAAACTTCCAAGGCCAGATGAAAAGAATTTTCTACTATAACTTTTATTTTCTATCCAAAGCAACACTTAATGTGTTTCAGGTATCTGATGTTGTGCAACTGTCAACATAAAACAAATTAGCACTTTTTCCTCACCCCAAAGAGAATCCTCTTTCTCACCATCACTTTTCCTGACCACCTTACCACTTCTCCAGCCAAGTCACCACTAATCTACTTTCTGTCTCTATAAAGACTTTCTGGATTCAAATAAATAGAATGATAGAATTTATGGTTTCTTGACCTGGATTCCTTGATTTAGCATTATGTTTTTGAGGTTTATTCATGTCATAATGCACATATCAGTAAATTTTTCCTTTTTATTGCTGAATAGTATTCCATCGTATGTCTATAGCACCTTCACCAATTGGTGGAAACATAGGTTATTTCTAATTTTTGCTGTATCCAACCTTAGACTACATCTAGTATTGTCGGTAAGATGCTAAGAACATCTGTGTATAATAAGTTTTGTGTAGATATAGGTTTTCATTTCCCATTGTTGGATACCTAAAGGCATAACTGCTGGATCATATGCTACATGATGTTTAAGAGAACCACGGACGAGTTTTCCAAAGTAATTGTGTCATTTTACATGGACACCAGCAATGTAAGCGAATTCCCATTTCTCCACATCCTAACATTTTTATTGCCCATCTTTTTTTTATTAGTCATTCTAGTCATTATGAGATGATAGCTCATTATGATTTTTATTTAATAATAACAAATGATATTGAGCATCTTTTGATGTGCTTATTAGCTGTTATATCTTCTTTTGTGAAATATCTTTTCAAATCTTTCCATTTTTTTGACTGCATTGTTTATCTTATTGATTTCAAGGTATAAGTGTTATTTATATTCTGGATACAAGTCTCTTATCAGATATGTATTTTGTCTTTTGACTATTAACATATCTTAGCATAGATTCCTTGAGGTTTTTTCTGCTTACAGATTTCTCACTAATTGAATTTGTGAGTTTATGGCATTTTGCCCAAATTTGGGAAATTTTTCAGCATTATTCCTGGAATACTTCTCAACATGCTCTCTCATCTCCTGGGACTCCAGTAACATGAATATTAGGTCTTTTGTTTTAGTCCATCATGACCCTGAGACTAATTTTTCCCCTCAGTCTATTTTCTCTGCTGTTAAAATTAGGTATTTTCTATTATTCTATCTTCAAGTTCACGGATTCTTTCCTCTTCATTATGGTGTTGAGTCACATCCATCCACTGAGTTTTAAATTTCAGTTGTATTTTTTTAACTCTAAAATTTACATTCCATTTGCTTTTTCTCTATACTTTCTCTTTCTTTGCTGAGATCATTTTTTTCATTTGCTTCAGCATGTATGTAATTGTTTATTGAAGTATTTTTATGAGGACTACTTAAAAATTCTTGTCAGATAATTGTAACATCTGTATCATCTGGGTATTGGTATTTGTTGGTCTTAATTCAGTTTGACATCATCTGTTCACAGGATGAAGAATGATTTTTGATTGAAACCTTGGGTTATTACATTATAAGGCTCAAGATTTTGTTGAATCTTTGTGTTTTATCATGTCTCCTCCGATACTCCTCCAGTAGGTATAGGGAATGCCCCTGTGTTACTGCCATGGAAGTCTAGGTTCTTCTAGTCTAGGTTCTTCTAGGTGGAAGTCGAGGTTCTTCACTTGGTCTTCTGTGACACCTGGTTGGGGAGGGGCCCCTTTGCTAGACAAAAATGGAATTCAAGGTCTCCAGTGACATCCTGGCTTGGAGGAGGAGAGGCACCTCATTTTTTACTGCTTCCCATGTGGCCTCCACAGACACTGTGGGAAGGTGGCCTTATGATTGCTGAGTACTGGTAAAACTCCTGACTTTCCATTAGCGCCCCTCCGACACCACCCCAGTGAAGAGAGGTAGGGAGTTCCTCAGTGCTATCTAGGAGGGGTGAGAGGCCAGGCTCCCCACATGTTTCCCTCTGATACTGGGAAGTGGGGAGACAACTCATTACTGCCCTGCATGAAATAATGTTCTGGCTCTCCCTTGACGTTCTCTGACATGACCTCAGCAGGAGTCTGGGGGAACCTCCTTATAGCTTGGCAAGGACTCAGAAGTCCAGGGTCTCCACTTGGCCTTCACCAGTTCAGCAGAAGAGATCAGATTATCGTTTTTTCTGTGGTGTTTGACTGGAGTCAAGAGGTCCTTTTCTAAAAGTTTTCTGTATTCTTAGGCTGCCCTTTTCCTGACCCTTTGGCTAGAGCTCTTCTTGGGGCTATTTTATCTGTGAGTTTTGGTGTTCCCTGGGTGACCAGATTCTCCAACACCTAATCTGAGAGAGGCAGCAAAAAGAAAATCCTGGGAACTCACTATTGTGTTGTTTCTTGTGTGCTAAGGTCCCTAGATAGTCTGCTTTTCCTTCTACCTGTTTCCTTATGTTTATATAACGTGTAAGATTTTTAGTTGTTTTTAGTGGAAGGCACAAGGAAAAGTACATCTTACCCCATGCTCCCAGAAACAGACATCATCAGAATCTTTTTGAAGGAGTACCAAATAGGCCAGTCACCAAGATTCTAGCAGAGCCCAGCCCAGCTGTGTTCTCATGAATTTGAGTTTCTCGGCACCCAAGATTTCAAAGTAAGAGAACGTATCTTATTATTCATTCACTCACTCATTCATTCATGAGTCCCTAATTCATGCCACATATCCCACTAGGCAAAACTAGAAGTAATGAACTGGTCAGATACTCTGTGGCTAACAGCTATCTAGAAGACACTGAAAAACAAACATAAGAACAAGTATAACAATGGGTTATAGGTACAAACATAAAAGGAAGTAAGAAGGATAATGATAGCACAAATAAATAATCCTAATTCATGGGGCCAAGGATCTCTTTATACATCAGTTATATTATACATTAATCTTTTATGCATCAGGCGTAGGAAACACAGGGCCTAGGATCCATAATACTTTTAGAGGTCTATGCAAAGGTTTTAATTTCTTCTAAAACCAGAAAATGGAGTTTTAGGCAGAAGAAAATTTTAATGTATATTATTAAATTCAGTTTTATACCCATTATAAAATATAAATTTAAATATTTTTTAAATAGAGAAAGGGGTCCCCAAAGGCAAACTTGCTTAGAGTCAACAAAAGTAGGGGCACCTGGGTGGCTCAGTTGGTTAAGCGTCCGACTTTGGCTCAGGTCACGATCACATGGTTCGTGGGTTCCAGCCCCACGTCGGGCTCTGTGCTGACAGCTAGCTCAGAGCCTGGAGCCAGTTTCAGATTCTGTGTCTCCCTCTGTCTCCGACCCTCCCTTGCTGGTGCTGTCTCTCTCTCTCTCTCAGAAATAAATAAAACGTTAAAAAAAAAAACCCAAAAGTAATAATGCAGCTCTAGTTGAAGAGAAAGTTAAGGAAAGGTTTCTTAGAAGAGACAGCTATTTAAGTCGATTAAAATAAAAGTAAAGGAGGATGAGAGAAGCATTTCAGCTAAAGAGAGCAGCAGGAGCAAAAGTTCCGAAGACATGGATATAATGAATATGAGTCAACCTATCATGTGTGAGAAACAAAAAATAAAGAGCAGGTCAAATGTATGAGAACCAGGATGAGCAATGGAAGCTACCAAAATTTATGCACATGTAGCTCTTTGTGCACAAACTCTCACAAGCAGAGTAGCTCAAGAATAAGAAATACGAGTGGTCCATTTCCATATCAGATAGTAACATAGGAAAAACAGAGAGTATGGACAGACAGTGCTGTTTCTTGGTAATAAACTCAGGCAGAGCTCTTATTTCTAAGCAGCTAAGTATATTAGAAGCCAGAATTGTCTCATGAAGGGATCAATGCCATCTCCTATGTTTCCACTGATTTTTCCACGTAATTTCCTCTTATTTATGAGAAGTGTTATAATTCCTAACCAGCCCATGACAAATACAAAAATAATTACTGATTACAAAGTATCTGTTTTAGTGATTCTGAAAATTGATGGTGATGAAGCATGGTCACAGCTGGACTTCATTTTTAAGTTTTGCAAAGTTGGCTCCAGCTGGTCAGTCAAGGAAGCCACAAAGAACAAAAATGTCCATGATAAAGAGTCATCACAATCCAGTGGGCCCTTCTGCCCAGCTTTGATGTGAATCTAAAATTGCCAGTAGCCGAAGTCAGAGCCTGTGGTCATTCTCAATAGCTTAGAGTCTATTATGTTAGGGAAACTAGAGCTTTCTCCTTTTACAG